TCTTCCTATCTCCACAACCTTAAGCTGTAATCAGTTAGGAGAACTGGTCCTCAGGAAGCAAGGTTTACATAAGGTGGTGACAAGAAGGATTTCATTGAGTCAGAGAATGTGATGACAGCCTGATTCATAAAAATTCCTATAAACGTGGATCATCAAAAAAAGAAAGTGTTAGAATATGGATGATGGTGTTTGACTTGTGTCCTTCGGGTAAAGTTGCTGCTACCAGCAGAGACAGAGAGGAGCCACCTTGACCTATGCAGAGTGTGGGTATTTCTTCTGTTGCATTCACCATGGTCTAGGGCAACTGCATCAAACACCTGACAGTGCCCAAGTCACCAAGGACAATGGACACTTAGTGTTTAAGGCCTAGATCATCCCACCAGCCTAGCAACACAAAGTCATCACCAACACCAAAGTGCTGGCCATGACTTAGAGGAATCTAGACTGGACATGAGAGGGGATAGTGACGAGTGTCAAGTGGTGACCCCAGGTACAGCCACAGTGTGGACAGTGAATCCTGGTCCACCAACCCTCACACTGTGACTTCCATGCACATTGGGACTGGCTGCTGTTTCAAAGCCTTCGTTGCAAAGTGGACTGAACGTTGCACTGTGTGGATCAAGTCATCAAAAGTGGACGTTGAGGGCTCACTCTAGTGGGTTCCTCTTGATCCCATTCATGTCCGCTGATCCAACAGGGATTATAGCAGCCATTGCATTAGATAGTTCTGTGTGTACGTGATTCACCTGCAGCTGGGACAGTGCTCAGGTGATGTACAACTTTCTCCATTGCAGTGGGGATTCTGAGGATCAATGTCTGACGAATCACTGAAGTGTAGAGACTTTAGTCCTTCCAGGGATGAAGGAGGGAGAAGCAGCGAGGCAAATGCTCCACTCCCAGGGCCCGAGGATGTTACACGGACTCTCCAGAGACCTTGAAGGGTGGGGCTCTACTTCCCAATGTTAGTGACCTACCTAAAATGAAGCTCCTTCACACACCATTGATATGATATTGAAAAAGATAAAAAGTTATTTCACTACATCTTCACCCTTAATTTCTCTGGAGTAGCCTTCTTATGAGATCCAAGAATAAACACCAATTCATTAAAATAAATAAATATAATAAATCAATTTAGAATATAGTTCACTGCGTAAGAAAATAAACATTTTCCTGTACTGGCATGCATTTTTTTACATTTAAGTTTTCTCTCTTTTAGGATGTTTGAAATTCTTCTTAGAAAAGTTTGAAAAAGTGAAACCTGGAAAACTCTGAGACGTGCATCACCCCAGGCACATTACGGTCCCACCTGTGCTTGCTTTCAATTTTGAAGGCTGTGGCCTTCCCAGAGTTCATGCAACCAACACATCCCATGATGTATCATCCTTCATCAGGGCTGAAGGATTAAACTCCACACACGTTACAAGTTGACAGATGGACACCGTATTAGCTGTCTAGGGCTGCCATAACAAAGCACCACAGACTGGATGAATTAAACTAAACATAAATAGACAAAGTAATTTCACAATTCTGGAGACAAGAATTTGAGATCTAGGAAATTCCTATAAACATGGATCATCAAAAAAAGAAAGTGTTAGAATATGGATGATGGTATTTGACTTGTGTCCTTGGGGTAAAGTTGCTGCTACCAGCAGAGACAGAGAGGAGCCACCTTGACCTATGCAGAGTGAGGGTATTTCTTCTGTTGCATTCACCATGGTCTAGGGCAACTAGCACCATAGACTTGGTGACTTAAACTAAACATACATAGACAAAGTAATTTCACAATTCTGGAGACAAGAATTTGAGATCTAGGTGTCAGAAAATTTGATTTCTTCTGAGATCTCTCTCTTTGGGTTGTAAATTGCTGTATTTTTTCTGTCTTCACATGGTCTTTCATCTCTATATGTCTGTGTCTTTATCTCCCTTTCTTATAAGGACACAAGTCATTTTAGATTTATTCTCCCCCCCCTTTATGTTATTTTCTGTTAATGAATTTTTTTGAACCTATCTCTAAATACAGCGACATTCTGAGATGTCGGTTTTAGGACTTCAACATATTGTCCTTCCCCGACTCCTGGCTGTTCTCCCAGGTCAGTCCAGGCACAGAGATTGGTTCACAGAGTGGAGTGGGCATGAGTGGACCCCTGATCTGAGTCCTGCTTCTCCCACACAGGTGCGTGTGCCCAGGTGCAGCTGGAGCAGTCTGGGGCAGAGGTGAAAAGACCCGGGGAGTCTCTGAGGATCACTTGGTAGACTTCTGGATACAGCTTTACCACCTACTGGATCAGCTGGTTGTGCCAGGCTCCAGGGCAAGGCCTGGAGTGGTTGGGGAGGATTGGTCCTGGTGAATCGGGTATGCCATATGGCCCATCCTTCCAAGGCCATGTCACACTCTCTACTGAAAAATCCACCAGCATCGCCCACCTGCAGTGGAGCAGCCTGAAGTCCTCAGACACTGCTGTGTATTACTGTGCCAGAGACACAGTGAGGGAATGTCAGCATGAGCCCAGACACGAGCTTCCCTACAGGGACACTCAGGACCACCAGGGGATGCTCAGGACCCACCAAGCTCAGGGCTGATTCCCATGGGCAGATGCAGAGGGGCCTGTGCTTTCTGTTGGGTACATCGGAATCATCCACTCTCCAAGTTCTCAGCTGTCCCCTGAGATGTTTTATGTCTTGTTATTTGTGTCTTTAATTCCTCCCGCCCTCACAGGGCAATGAAGGTGTATCTGATGTGGTCTATATGCAGATGAGATGTGGCAATGGGCATGCTGCCAGCACGAATCTGGACTTCACATCTTGGGCACGAGGGGTGACAATCAGCTCTGTATCTCATGAATATTCATAACCAATAATATATAAATATATATATATCCATTAACTATGACAAAAAAAGATTCACTAGGGTCATTTTCTTCTTGAG